GTCTGGAAAATCTTCCAGCTCCTGCACCCAACATCTTGCTCCTGGGGGATTTCAACTTAAGGCACCTAAAATGGAGGAATATAGCAAATAATATTGTTGCAGTAATAACACCAGGAGGCAGCTCTAATGAAAACTCACACTCACACGAGCTTTTAAATCTCTGCACAAAATTCAATTTAAACCAGCAAATAATAGAGCCTACTAGACTGGTGAATACACTAGACCTCATCTTCACTAACAATGATGATCTGATAAGAAATGTCACCATATCAAAAAAATATACTCAGATCACAACATAATTGAGGTTCAGTCATGTATGCGCGGAGCCCCAGACCGACATAATGAGATTAGTCACGAGGGAGCATTCACCAAATTCAACTTTAATAACAAAAACATAAAGTGGGACCAAGTAAACCAAGTCCTAACCGATATAAGCTGGGAAGATATACTAAGCAACACAGACCCCAACTTATGCCAAGAACAGATTAACTTGGTGGCACTCGATGTATGCACAAGGCTTATTCCTCTAAGAAAAAGGAGTAGATGTAAAATACAAAGAGACAGGCGCTCCCTTTACAGGCGACGGAAAAGAGTAACAGAGCGGCTAAAAGAGGTCAATATATCTGAAATGCGTAGGGAGACACTGGTCAGAGAAATAGCAAACATCGAACTTAAGCTAAAGGAATCTTATAGGAGTCAGGAATCGCGGGAAGAACTAAAAGCCATAAATGAAATCGAAAGAAACCCAAAGTATTTCTTCTCCTATGCCAAATCAAAGTCGAGAACAACGTCCAGTATTGGGCCCTTACTTAAACAAGATGGGTCCTACACAGATGACAGCAAGGAAATGAGTGAGCTACATAAGTCCCAATATGACTCAGATTTTAGCAAGCCGCTAACCAGACTGAGAGTCGAAGATCAAAATGAATTTTTTATGAGAGAGCCACAGAATTTGGTTAACACAAGCCTATCTGATATTATCCTGACGCCAAATAACTTCGAACAGGCGATAAATGACATGCCCATGCACTCTGCCCCAGGGCCAGACTCATGGAACTCCGTGTTCATCAAGAGCTGCAAGAAGCCCCTATCACGAGCCTTTACCATCCTATGGAGAGGGAGCATGGACACGGGGGTCGTCCTACAGATACCAAAAACAACAGACATAGCCCCACTCCACAAAGGGGGCAGTAAAGCAACAACAAAGAACTACAGACCGATAGCACTAACATCCCATATCATAAAAATCTTTGAAAGGGTCCTAAGAAGCAAGATCACCACCCATCTAGAAACCCATCAGTTACACAACCCAGGGCAACATGGGTTTAGAACAGGTCGCTCCTGTCTGTCTCAACTATTGGATCACTACGACAAGGTCCTAAATGCACTAGAAGACAAAAAGAATGCAGATGTAATATATACAGACTTTGCAAAAGCCTTCGACAAGTGTGACCATGGCGTAATAGCGCACAAAATGCGTGCTAAAGGAATAACAGGAAAAGTCGGTCGATGGATCTATAATTTCCTCACTAACAGAACACAGAGAGTAGTAGTCAACAGAGTAAAGTCCGAGGCAGCTACGGTGAAAAGCTCTGTTCCACAAGGCACAGCACTCGCTCCCATCTTGTTCCTCATCCTCATATATGACATAGACCAGGATGTCAGCCACAGCACCGTGTCTTCCTTTGCAGATGACACCCGAATCTGCATGACAGTGTCTTCCATTGCAGACACTGCAAGGCTCCAGGCGGACATCAACCAAATCTTTCAGTGGGCTGCAGAAAACAATATGAAGTTCAACCATGAGAAATTTCAATTACTCAGATATGGTAAAAACGAGGAAATTAAATCTTCATCAGAGTACAAAACAAATTCTGGCCACAAAATAGAGCGATACGCCAACGTCAAAGACCTGGGAGTGATCATGTCGGAGGATCTCACCTTCAAGGACCATAACATTGTATCAATCGCATCTGCTATAAAAATGACAGGATGGATAATGAGAACCTTCAAAACTAGGGATGCCAAGCCCATGATGACACTCTTCAGGTTGCTTGTTCTATCTATCCTGGAATATTGCTGCACAATAACAGCACCTTTCAAGGCAGGTGAAATTGCTGACCTAGAAAATGTACAGAGAACCTTCACGGCACGCATAACGGAGATAAAACACCTCAATTACTGGGAGTGCTTGAGGTTCCTGAACCTGTATTCCCTGGAATGCAGGCGGGAGAGATACATGATTATATACACCTGGAAAATCCTAGAGGGACTAGTACCGAACTTGCACACGAAAATCACTCACTACGAAAGCAAAAGACTTGGCAGACGATGCAACATCCCCCCAATGAAAAGCAGGGGTGTCACTAGCACGTTAAGACACCATACAATAAGTGTCAGGGGCCCGAGACTGTTCAACTGCCTCCCAGCATACATAAGGGGGATTACCAACAGACCCCTGGCAGTCTTCAAGCTGGCACTGGACAAGTACCTAAAGTCGGTTCCTGATCAGCCGGGCTGTGGCTCGTACGTTGGTTTGCGTGCAGTCAGCAGTAACAGCCTGGTTGATCAGGCTCTGATCCACCAGGAGGCCTGGTCACAGACCGGGCCGCGGGGGCGTTGACCCCCGGAACTCTCTCCAGGTACAGAACTCCAGGACATTGACCTCACTAGACACAAGCAATATATATGTAGTGGCCTGCGGGTCACAGTGCAGCTTTCAAGGTCATTCACCGGGCCACAGTCTTCTCCAGAGTTACCAACACTGCAATACTCGTTAATTACTCCACACCTGCAGCACTTAATACATCTAGCACACATGTCTTGGAATGACAGACGGAAGGAGAGGAGCCGGTAGTCCAGCTGGCAGGGACGGGACAAACTTACGTTTCAGTAAATTGATGCTCCATGACGGACCGAAACGTCGTAGTAAGTTTCATTTACCTAATGTCCTGGTTATATGTGTACCCAGGATAACCCAAGAAAGTCAAAGTGACTAATTTACATTGGGATCCTTAGCTTATTTACATTGTGACCTTGAACTTCCACTGGCAGCTACACTCTACTATAAATCTGGAATCCTAGTATAACATCCTAAGATTAATGTTCTGATAATAATGTTATTATGTAAGATGATTCCAGCACCAGATATTATTGCTAAGTTTAAATGTTTATTAAAGTGGATATTATCCCACTGTGCTTTATTATTATTATTATTATTATTATTATTATTATTATTATTATTATTATTATTATTATTATTATTATTATTGTCATTATTATTGTTATTATTATTATTTATTATTATTATTATTATTATTATTATTATTATTATTATATTATTATTATTATTATTATTATTGCCATTATTATTGTTATTATTATTTATTATTATTATTATTATTATTATTATTATTATTATTATTATTATTATTATTATTGCCATTATTATTATTATTATTTATTATTATTATTATTATTATTATTATTATTATTGTCATTATTATTGTTATTATTATTATTATTATTGTTTATTATTATTATTATTATTATTATTATTATTATTATTATTGTCATATTATTATTATTATTATTATTATTATTATTATATTATTATTATTATTATTGTCATTATTATTGTTTTTATTATTTATTATTATTATTATTATTATTATTATTATTATTATTATTGTCATTATTATTTATTATTATTATTATTATTTAAAACAAGCTATTATACAGTTATACAAGAATTATACAAGTTATACAGGAGTTATGAGCTGTTGTACATGAGTTATATATGAGTTATACAGGAGTTATACATGAGTTATACATGAGTTATGCAGGAGTTATACATGAGTTATACAGGAGTTATACATGAGTTATACAGGAGTTATACATGAGTTATACAGGAGTTATACATGAGTTATACATGAGTTATGCAGGAGTTATACATGAGTTATACAGGAGTTATACATGAGTTATACAGGAGTTATACATGAGTTATACATGAATTATACAGGAGTTATACATGAGTTATACAGGAGTTATACATGAGTTATACATGAGTTATACATGAGTTATACATGAGTTATACATGAGTTATACATGAGTTATACATGAGTTATACATGAGTTATACATGAGTTATACATGAGTTATACATGAGTTATACAGGAGTTATACATGAGTTATACATGAGTTATACATGAGTTATACATGAGTTATGCAGGAGTTATACATGAGTTATACAGGAGTTATACATGAGTTATACATGAGTTATGCAGGAGTTATACGTGAGTTATACATGAGTTATACATGAGTTATACAGGAGTTATACAGGAGTTATACATGAGTTATACATGAGTTATACATGAGTTATACAGGAGTTATACATGAGTTATGCAGGAGTTATACAGGAGTTATACATGAGTTATACATGAGTTATACAGGAGTTATACATGAGTTATACATGAGTTATACATGAGTTATGCAGGAGTTATACAGGAGTTATACATGAGTTATACATGAGTTATACATGAGTTATACATGAGTTATACAGGAGTTATACATGAGTTATACATGAGTTATACATGAGTTATGCAGGAGTTATACAGGAGTTATACATGAGTTATACATGAGTTATACATGAGTTATGCAGGAGTTATACATGAGTTATACAGGAGTTATACATGAGTTATACATGAGTTATACAGGAGTTATACATGAGTTATACATGAGTTATACATGAGTTATACATGAGTTATACATGAGTTATGCAGGAGTTATACAGGAGTTATACATGAGTTATACATGAGTTATACATGAGTTATACATGAGTTATGCAGGAGTTATACATGAGTTATACAGGAGTTATACATGAGTTATACATGAGTTATACAGGAGTTATACATGAGTTATACAGGAGTTATACATGAGTTATACATGAGTTATACAGGAGTTATACAGGAGTTATACATGACAAGCACCTAAAGTCGGTACCTGACCAGCCGGGCTTTGTCTCGTACGTTGGATTGCGTGCAGACAGCAGTAACAGCCTGGTTGATCAGGCCCTGATCCACCATGAGGCCTGGTCACAGACCGGGCCGCGGGGGCGTTGACCCCCGGAACTCTCTCCAGGTAAACTCCAGGAGTTATGTAAAGCCTGGGATATAGAAGATAATGATGTTTGATCCTGGGAAAAGTAAGGGTGGCTCTAGCTCCTGACCCGCACTCGCTTATCTGAAAGTGACAATGACATCATTTATATGGTTAATGACGTCATGAGTGATTGATAAAGCAAAGCTGTGATTGGTTCATGAATATGAGACAGTCTATGACGTCACCTATCAGGACGAACGAGACTATTTGTTTGGATGGAAGACTGTGACGTCATCAATTAGGAAGGCCATGATTGGCTCACAGGGGACTCAGGCAGCCGCCAAAAATCAGGAATATTTCGGCATGACGCCAAAACCGACGTATCGTACGAAAATATTTTCTCTGTCAGCTAAAATTCATGAGTGTGCTTGTTTTTTTGGGATAAATTCGTGGAAAATATATTCGTCTTTACTCCACTGACGTATGTTAAGAGTTTATATATTAAACAGTGAAATAAATAATGCTTAAAAATCCGGACAGATTTTTGTTGTGTGATTCCTTCAAAAAGTTTGTAAGTTTATTCAGGTATTGGAAGATGTTGGTGCAGCTTCCTCACACCGTTGATGCTGCCTCGACTACTGCCTCCTAACATAATGTTACACCAGTATACCTCCACTGCTCCTGTCCACCTGCTAGCACCATGGTAGACTCAGCTACTGAATACACATCAGAAGATGAAGATATCTACGACTGGAGTACACCAACGTGGGAAAACCTTACATTCTAGAGTGCTCCATCAAACACCGACACCAGAGCTTACACTGGACTCTACAAAGGCCTCGGTGCAGGAACTGTCAAGTTTACCTGCAAACAATAACATCACTTCACACTCACCTAAGTTCTGGAATTCCTCAAGGCTCTTTATTTCACCCATGGAAACAAGACAAAACTTGACCACCTTTCTAGAAACACCTTCAAGAAATTTGAGAATGGCTCCTCTACACACCTACCATCGTAATCTTGTCAAATAACATCACCAGTATACTGCCCTCTGATGTTCTTCCCTGCTGTATGGCCCTTGTGGTTTAGCGTTTCTTTTTTATTATAATAATGATGTTCTTCCCTGCTTGCCCTCTCCTGCCACCTTGTCAAGTCTGTTGACATCCAGCTTCCACAACACCATCTCAACTGAGCCTGTAATTTCTCATTCATAAGTCTGTTCCACGATCATGTATAAAACACTACAGTAAACTATATAATGCTATACATCACTACAGTAAACTGTGCAGTACTATACATCACTACAGTAAACTATTACCTGGACTTTACCTGGAGAGAGTTCCGGGGGTCAACGCCCCCGCGGCCCGGTCTGTGACCAGGCCTCCTGGTGGATCAGAGCCTGATCAACCAGGCTGTTACTGCTGGCTGCACGCAAACCAACGTACGAGCCACAGCCCGGCTGGTCAGGTACCGACTTTAGGTGCTTGTCCAGTGCCAGCTTGAAGACAGCCAGGGGTCTGTTGGTAATCCCCCTTATGTATGCTGGGAGGCAGTTGAACAGTCTCGGGCCCCTGACACTTATTGTATTGTCTCTTAACGTGCTAGTGACACCCCTGCTTTTCATAGGGGAGATGTTGCATCGTCTGCCAAGTCTTTTGCTTTCGTTGTGAGTGATTTTCGTGTGCAAGTTCGGTACTAGTCCCTCTAAGATTTTCCAGGTGTACATAATCATGTATCTCTCCTGCCTGCGTTCCAGGGAGTACAGGTTCAGGAACTTCAAGCGCTCCCAGTAACTGAGGTGTTTTATCTCCATTATGCACGCCGTGAAGGTTCTCTGTACATTTTCTAGGTCAGCAATTTCACCTGCCTTGAAAGGTGCTGTTAGTGTGCAGCAATATTCCAGCCTAGATAGAACAAGTGACCTGAAGAGTGTCATCATGGGCTTGGCCTCCCTAGTTTTGAAGGTTCTCATTATCCATCCTGTCATTTTTCTAGCAGATGCGATTGATACAATGTTATGGTCATTGAATGTGAGATCCTCTGACATGATCACTCCCAGGTCTTTCACGTTGGTTTTTCGCTCTATTTTGTGGCCGGAATTTGTTTTGTACTCTGATGAAGTTTTAACTTCCTCATGTTTACCATACTGGAGCAATTGAAATTTCTCATCGTTGAATTTCATATTGTTTTCTGCAGCCATTGAAAAAATTGGTTGATGTCCGCCTGGAGCCTTGCAGTGTCTGCAATGGAAGACGACACTGTAATGCAGATTCGGGTGACATCTGCAAAGGAAGACAGGGTGCTGTGGCTGACAGCCTTGTCTATGTCAGATATGAGGATGAGAAACAAGATGGGAGCGAGTACTGTGCCTTGTGGAACAGAGCTTTTCACCATAGCCGCCTCAGACTTTACTCTGTTGACTACTACACTTTGTGTTCTGTTTGTGAGGAAATTATAGATCCATCTACCAACTTTTCCTGTTATTCCTTTAGCACGCATTTTGTGCTCTATTACGCCATGGTCACACTTGTCGAAGGCTTTTGCAAAGTCTGTATATATTACATCTGCATTCTTTTTGTCTTCTAGTGCATCTAGGACCTTGTCGTAGTGATCCGGTAGTTGAGACAGACAGGAGCGACCTGCTCTAAACCCATGTTGCTCTGGGTTGAGTAATTGATGGGCATCTAGATGGGTGGTGATCTTGCTTCTTAGGACCCTTTCAAAGATTTTTATGATATGGGATGTTAGTGCTATCGGTCTGTAGCTCTTTGCTATTGCTTTACTGCCCCCTTTGTGGAGTGGGGCTATGTCTGTTGTTTTTAGTAACTGTGGGACGACCCCCGTGTCCATGCTCCCTCTCCATAGGATGGTAAAAGCTCGTGATAGGGGCTCCTTGCAGTTCTTGATGAACATGGAGTTCCATGAGTCTGGCCCTGGGGCAGAGTGCATGGTCATGTCATTTATCGCCTGTTCGAAATCATTTGGGGTCAGGATAACATCAGATAGGCTTGTGTTAACCAAATTCTGTGGCTCTCTCATAAAAAAATTCATTTTGATCTTCGACTCTTAGTCTGGTTAGCGGCTTGCTAAAAACTGAGTCATACCGGGATTTGAGTAGCTCACTCATTTCGTTGCTGTTATCTGTATAGGACCCATCTTGCTTAAGTAGGGGCCCAATACTGGATGTTGTTCTCGACTTTGATTTGGCATAAGAAAAGAAATACTTTGGGTTTCTTTCGATTTCATTTATGACTTTTAGTTCTTCCCGCGATTCCTGACTCCTATAAGATTCTTTTAGCTTAAGTTCGATGTTTGCTATTTCTCTGACCAGTGACTCCCTACGCATTTCAGATATATTGGCCTCTTTTAGCTGCTCTGTTATTCTTTTCCGTCGCCTGTAAAGGGAGCGCCTGTCTCTTTCTATTTTACATCTGCTCCTCCTTTTTCTTAAAGGAATAAGCCTTGAGCATACATTGAGTGCCACCGAGTTAATCTGTTCTAGGCATAAGTTGGGGTCTGTGTTGCTTAGTTTATCTTTGCCTGCTCACTCTGTCGCATCTTTATAGGTTGTAACCTGGGATCCATATTTCGTTGTCCAAGTGATCCTTTATGTGGGTCTCTGTGAAAGCCGTGAACATTGCATTTGCCTATGCAAGCAGTCCACGGATGAAAGGTGTTTTGTTGTTTGTTGCTGGCTGTAGACCCTGTATATGTGCAAAGAAGAATGTCATCGGAATGGTGGTATTAGTGGTACTGGGGGGGGGGACTTTTTTCCGGCACTAGTATCTAGAGTGAAGGCCATCGACTGTGGTTCCACTCCAGAAATAACTAGATTTGGTGTACGATTTCTGCCATTTCCTACCAGTTTCTTTTCCTTCCTGGCACTAAAAAACCTCTCCCTCTTGAGTGGCTGTGGCTACCCAATCTTTTCCATGGCCTGGATGTTTTGTATCTTTTTGTCCCCTTTAGATGGTGTGCCTGGCAATTTAAGTTATAGCACAGTCTTTTCTGTACTGAAGAGGGACACATTTCAGGGTGAAAAAGCTTACAAGAAGGGAGTTTGCATTTTCTTGTTGTCATATGGGCACGGCATATTCTAGGGTGGTCAAAGTTGCACGTCCCATCTGTTTTTCCAGGTTTCCCATGCCTGCAGATACCAAGTGCATAGTACGTGCACAGACTTGGTTTCCGTTTGCCTTGGGTTTCTGTGACTGTATTCCCTGTTGGTGCATGTTTACCTGTCTCATTCCTATCCTCACTAGTACTAACAATGGAGCTCTCATCAGTTGTGTCTGGTAATATATCCTCACTATTGCTAGTGGAGTTCCATTGTTTGCTATCTCCTGTGGTATTACTAGTTTGTAATAATGGTTTTATCTTGTCCTTGACTACACTTGTTTCCCCACCACAGCTCCTGTCTCCCTCGAGGTCATTTATATGCATTCCCTCATGCGTACATTTACAGACTACCTGACAGCACCTCCATCCTCACCATTACTGTCTCCCAGGACAGCACCTCCAGCTTCACCATTACTGTCTTCCAGGACAGTACTTCCAGCCCCACATTTACTGTCTACCAGGGCAGCACCTCCAGCCTTACCGTTTCTGACTACATGGCCAGCACCAAGGGCGATACCATCCAGCCCAGACTTTTTATTTTTCCATCTGTTATAGAATGCTTCCAGGTTTTCTATGAAGGCTGCTTTGATGTTATCCTCTTTTAATACCAATGTGATTTTAGTTCACAGATTGATCTCATTTGGGTATACCCAAAAACACTTCCCTGATTTAATACTGGTTGTAGATGTTCTGGATATCTGCACAAGGGCGTGACACCAATTTTCACAAAAATGCTAAAAAAATCCACGGGGGAAAACCTTTTTTTTTGATTTACTACAACTACACAAGCTTCAAAAAATTATTTCAATGGTTGATTTTACTGAAATTTCTACTAGTAACCCCTTGAATTTTCTACTAAAAACCCTCCTTAAATAAAATCTGGCTATTTGTATTTCTATTTCTAACTGAATTTTTAAATTAGGACACTTACCGTGACTTTCTGTTTTAATTTTTTTTGTTTTTGATAAGGCGCCAAAAAACCCCGCATTTACAGTCTGTTTTTAATTTCCAACAATCCTTTT